CACAGTCAATGCCAAATTGCAGAAAAAATATGTCTGGAAGCAAAAAAATTTAACCCGAACACTGATAAACCTTTTTCATTCAGTTTGGAAACAAAGCTGCAAATGCCAAAAAAACAAACGCAAAAGGGATCATCAGTCAAAAAACTTCAGAGGAAAATTTTGGGTATCCCCCTGAAGAGCCTTAATTCCGGACACACATACAACAAATCCCAAGAAAATCTCCAAGACTGTGGCATATATCAAAGATAAGGGTACTACGTTCCACAATAGTCCCCTGGCACTGTACCATCCCTCAATACCCTTATCTTACATATGGAATTTGTGCAGGGGACAACAACATCCTTTGCCTAAAACCCCTAATAACCCAGAAAAAGGCGCAGTAAGAATGTAAAAAATTTCCCACTCCCTGCCACTATCCACCAATTTTCAGAAGTCCGAGTCTGCTCACCTTTAAGAACATCTTACTTATTATGTGCCTACAAATACACAAACAATACACGCAAAATAAAGCCCCCACTCAAACTTCCCCTCACCAATGAAATGGGGAGCCATCACTTTGGTTTTCAGTAAAATATTGGGAATCCCCTTTGACCCATGCATGTCGGAGAATTGATGGAAAAACAGTGAGAAAAGAAAGCAAAAGCCAGACGAAGCCCCTTATGACAAGCACAGATTTACCTATGAGGCTCGAAGGACCCTATTCTACCCTATACAATGCCAAGGGATTACTTTTTGCTCTTCGGGTACTCTCCCTTTGAAAAAAAAACTAAAAGATAAACTTAAAATCACCCAAACAAAATCTAAGATTCCCCGGGGGCGGGGCCAAGAGAACATGTAGGCCAGGTAAATTACAGCAGTTGGATATGCTAAATGTTGAAGACAGAGTAAAACAACTGAAGCTAAATCTGTTTATAAAATTGTCACAAACAAGTCCAAATATCTTGCTTCAATTTTGAAAAGGTTTGGGGAACCCAAAAAGAAATCGTACTAGGGGGAGAGGCACAACTTTGTAGTCCCCAAGTCAGGGCCAGGTTCAAACACCTTTTATTGTACAGCAAAAAAGGGAAATGGAACAGACCCCCCGCACATGTCAAACCCATCATAGATAACAGTTCAAGAAGAGTGCCAAAAGGTGTCTGATGAATGTAGCACAGAAAGGGGGGGGAATGATTTTCTATTTTTTAGTAAAAAACGGAAAATTTTTTTAACCTTTTTCCCTTAATGACCCCGTATTGAGATAGTCTTAAATGCCCTTTGGTGTAAAATTCTTTTTTATTTAAAAAAAAAATTTTTATCTCATTGTAAATAATAAGAAAATTTTTAAACCTTTATATTTAATAATAAGGTAAAAGGCCCCCCAAGGAAATAAGTCACTCTGTCTGATTTTTTTGGGTTAACCTGGTTCTTAACCACCCCTATGTATAAATTCTATGTAACTGTATTTTTTATCCTAAAAACTTTCTTACTTATTTCTTAACCTAAACAGGACACATGCCACAACACAAGACACATCTCTTTTTGATATACCTTTTGTCCAACACACTGTGTAAAAACTCTAGCACATAAAGGCCCCAAAATTGGAATTTATTACCAAAGAATTAAAGTCCCCGTCGGAAAAACAATTTAAAAACCTTTCTCAAAAACCCCTTAATCACCTTGACTAAAGAAAATACTCATAACCCCTTTACTCACCTTGTACTCCCATATCATAACGAAACAATCACATTGAACCTTTTATCCTTGTTGAAGGGAAAATAATTGAATCATTGTTTTCAAAAAAAGCATTTTTTAATATAAAAATTTTCTTTTTTTTACAAATTTTGATTAATTTATAGTTAATATTCTACGTACAAATTTGAAAAATTTATCCCACTATAAACTATGAATACTCCATAGTATTTAATACGTAAGCCCAATACATTAAAGTTAAGTTGGTCCATAAGCCAAGGATAAAAGAGGCTCTCTTTGCATTGCAACCCATATTGTAAATAAAAAATCTCAATGTATTTTGCAAAGACTAAAATAAATAAATAAATAAATAAAAAATGAAAATGCCCAATTAATTTTAAAAAAAGACATTTAATGTCCCCCGAGTGATTATTTTATTTTATATTGGGGTCATGAAGAGAGGAAATTTGCGATTTTAATGGACCTGACACAGCACAGTAAAAAGTATATTAGGTACAGGTAACTAAGTAAAAAATTATCGGAGTAAACATAAAAAATCAATAAATTTTAAAAAAACTTGAAATTTTGGGAAAATTTCCTACTAAAAGATGTGGTCATGGAAATGTAAACAAACCGGGTGGGGGGGCCCGTATTTGAAAGACCCTTGCTGTAAGCAAATTTTGGAAAAATTTACTCGCCGTATTTTTGGAAAGCCGTAAGGGAAAATGCCGTAAATTTGGGGTCTACTGTAAAAATTTACACAAACAAACTTAACTTTTAAGGTTTTTTTTTGGGGGGGGGGGGGGATTTGAATAATTTTTTTTGCCTTAATTATGAAATCGGGAAAAATTGGGGATTGAGTTTGGAATGGAAAAAATACAATGCCTGCACTTTTAAACCCCTTTTATTGTCGACAGGGGGCCCCTCAGAGACTTGTTCTCAAGTCACCCAAATTTCAAAAAAAAAAAAAAAAAATTTTTTTCCCATGAAAAAAAGGAACTATTCCCCATTATTTTATTATAATAATAATAATAATATTCCCCATCATAATACACCAAAGTAGAAATTTGATGAAAAATTACGGAATTATCTCCGTGAAGTTGCGGGCTCGAGATGTTTCGCATTTAGCGATTTGGCCCCCTTTTGAGCCCTATTTTTGGCCATTCCATGTACTAGTCGACAAAAATCATGAATATTTGGAACTCCATTTTTTTCTATCAATGAGTGCAAGAAACCACCATTTACCCATTTAACTATCCCAATACAGTGGTCAAAAATTTGCAATTTTTCCAGTTTCACACAAATTCAAAAAATCCCAATTTCCAAAAGGGTCCAGAATAAACAAAAAGCATTCCTGGCACTAAAATGACTTTCCTCTGTTTATTAGTCACGTCCTAACCCCCTCTTACACCTTTGCTTTCCCCTTTGAATAAATTTTTTTTTCACAAAAATTAGAAATTTTCTGTTTTGCAGACTACTGCATTATGTAAAAAAAAGGTATAAATAATATCGGCGCACTTTGGGGAAAAAATATTTGACTCCCTTGACGTGTATTGGACGCTTTGCATGATTTTTTTATTTTGAACTTTGGGAAAATCGAACATTTCTGTTACTTTGAGCTAAATTTCAAAGGGACTTTTCATTTGTAAAATCGTCAAAAAACACTAAATTTTTTTGTAATAGTCTTCCATTCTTAGAAAGAGACCAGGAAAATAAAACAAAAATAAATACCATACAAAAATACAGTCAAAATTGCTTTTTAATCCAAAAAAACACAGTTTTTTTTTTTTTCATTAAAGCACTGTGTGCGCGGATTTTTTTATACGCCACACTGACCACATAGACCCATTTTTTCATATGTAGGCCCACCACTTTTCCACTAATTTGAGGGTGGGAGAGTTTAGGCGTACTGTCGTCAAAAAAACCCGGTGGTAAGCCGATATACCCAAACCCTGGGAAAAGGGTTTAAAAGAGGGGGTTTTGGGGTCGTATTTAGTTTTTAAAGGGGGATCTTCGTATCAGCGCCTCTCAAAGACAGGATTTTGTATGATGATGGGAAAGTGTTGAATGTTAAGATTTTTTTTTCTTTTTTGGTTTACCTTTTCCTCCCTGGGGGAAAAAAGCCCCTTTGTAAAAAAAAAAAAAAAAAATTTCCAATCTTGAGTTGTCATTTTTGTTTTTTTTGTCATGACATGGTGCTTTTTTGGGGATTCAGAAGAGAAATTGGGAGAGGTTGGTAGACAATTTGAGAGGGTACTAAAAAAGGAAATTAAAAGTTGAAGGGAAAAAAACAAGGTGAGATAAAAAAAGTTTTGGGAATGAGAGATTGGAACAGATTGGAAGAGGGAGATGGAGGGAAAGAATGTTTTTAGTCTTGGGAGGACTGGTCCGACTGGTCTGTGAAAATAAATTGAAAAAGGCAGGGGAATGTATCAGAATATAGTGGTGCCAACACTTATACAAGATGCTACTCTACATTTGCTATTTAGTAGAAAATGTTAAAATACAACATCCTTAGGGCTAACCGAGGAAAATTATGTAAAAGCAATATGGCTTATTTCTACTTGGGCTTTTCCCTAAGACAAAGAGGACTGCCCACAAGTGTTGCCATGCCCAGGATTATTATTATATTTAGGTTTTAAACCCATAGGTTTCATACAGTGCCTAGACCAGGGAATATATCATAGGTCTATTTTATTTGAGTTAATTGTGGTAAGAATGAATGAATGTTAAGAAATAAGACATCAAAGAAAAAGCATAACCAAAATGATGTATAGAGTGGATTGTTTGCCACAGAAGGTTCATGATTATTAATAAATTCATGGGTGGGGGTGGGGGGGAAGCACTAAACCCATTGGGGTTGTACAGTGCCTGGGGGAAGGTGGGTAATGGAAGACATTCAGACTTGATCCCCCCCCCCCCCCCCAAAAGGTTCCTTGAAGCTGGTGAGGGCTCTTGATCTAAGAAATTAAAACCTGTGCTCCAGTTCCTTGAATAGTCTGCTTTCCATTCCCTAGAAACTTCAGAAAATGTGAGGGGTAAATAGGAGTATCAGGCTTATCTTAAATGACTAGAAGCACTGAGCAGTTATTGCATGTCATTTTCAAAATTCATTACTAATAAAAATTGCTAAAGACCAGTTTTAGTTAGAGGTAAATACCATTCATTTACAAGTTTCAATTTGGGTGTTACCATTTTTTTTATTTATACATATAGTATGTGCCTTGTTGAATCCCCTCCTAAAAAGTATCATACGCAAAAGATCTACCCACCAAAATGTAAATAAAGGCAATTTTTAAACAGTGTTGAATGTAGTTTAATCTCTCCATCAGATGTATTTACAACGCAACAGGACCCAGTTTGTGGATGTTGACTCGTCGGGTAAACCTTGCAAAGAACGGATGCTGTCTGTGCTCTATCAAGGCATTCAACAACACAGGTTCATGGATTTTGCAGTACATAAAGTAGAAAACACTGCTAAATTAAGAAGCTGGATGGCAGAATCTGGTTTAATAGATTTGTTTGATAATGTAATAGCACCATTCATTTCTAAAAGATAATACTGTACTACTGTATTTTAATTATCATTATTAAAGGTAGTAATATTTAAAGTCTTTTAATACTGTACTATGTAAGGAGCATTTCTGTCATAGTCCCATGAATCTCCATAAGAATAATGACCAGTCAGTTTCGCATAAAACAACAGTATCACTCTTAACCTCTTCAAGGGGGGCTCCTTGGCGTGGTGAAGAGGCTCTTGGTCTGAGGAATTAGACCTATCGGTCTTCTTCCTCAGACCGAACCTAATTACCCCCCAATCTCCCCTCCCCTATCCCATCCTCCCTATCCTCCCCTTTTTCCTTTCCTCCTCCTCCTCCCCACTCCTCCCTTTTGCCCTTCCTCTTTTTGTCCTTTGGGATTTCTCCCACAGGCGCGCTAGTTCCTAGGTAGGAGAAAGGATACCGGGGTCCATCCCATTCCGTTGAGGTTCTTAGCGGTGGCGTAGTTTGCCGTGGAATCTGGATCGCCTGGGGATGTCCCGATCCCTCTCCGGTATCCTGGAGTAGCTTTGGGTGTCTTTCGGGCGACGAGTGTATCTCTGGAAGCCCCCTTTTCGGATTCGGGGGTGGTGGCCCAAAAGGGAAAGGTATGCTTTGTGGTGGATATCTGGCCGCCCTCTCTTTTGTCCACCGAGGTAGCTCGGCAGATGTGAGGTTGCTATCCCGGATTGTTAGTTTACTAGCATGATGGGTAGGGTAGGGCCGGGTTCCATGCCCCATCTGCGCTACTTGCGGTGCGAGGCCCTCTTGGGCGCGGAGGGAAAATTTCGGGCCCCTTTCATTCCTCCTAGGACCTATCCCTCCCGGTCCCCCCTTTTTTTCTTTTTTTTATTTTTATTTTCTTTTCTTCTTTCTTTTTTTTTCTTAAAAACAAAAAGAAAGAAGTAACCTAACCATGGCAGCCCTAGTCCATGAACCTGGAAACCCCCGGGCCCCTTTTTGGGATACCGCCCTCGTTCTGACCCGCCTCGTCTTTGGACCACTCTTCAGACATTCCTCATGCCTCTGTACCTATTGCCGGTGCTGTTTCCTCACCCGCTTCAGGTATGGGGGGGGGGGCCCGACTGGACTCCTCGATTTATCGGACCTTCGCTCTCCTCTGACTATGCTTCCCCCCCCCCTCTCCCTCTACGGTGCGGCAATTTTCAAATCGCCGACCCGTTCCACGTCGGACCAACTCTGGTCCCACGCCTAAACGCCAACGAAAATTTACCTGTGATGATACTTCTCCACCTTTCGTTCTTCTCAGAAACGATCGACACGTCCTTCACTACCTTTCCACGCTCATTTCAGACTGAACAGTGGACTAAATTCTTCACTTTACGACCAACTTCCTCTACTACCTATCTTTCTAACCATAGTTTTGGCAAGGCACTCCTACGCCATGTTGGTAAAGATATTTCTTTTTCATGCTCTTAAGAGCGGTACGCGCATCATTACCGTACAGATGCTCCCCAGGCTCATGAGCTCTCTGTCTTTCCCATTCGTATGTTCCTGTCACTCTTGAAAACATCTTTCCCCTCAATTCTTGTAGTGGTACCGTCATTCTGCCCCATACATAGTTCAACAAAATTTCCAGACATGTGGCACTGACATTCTAGAAACAACTGGAACTCCAAGATTTCCCAATCCTTAAGGTAGATACTTAGGTTCTTCCTGCCCGTGGGCGGAGACGATACCCTGCAATGTGGCTCGTTAACTTTTGACAGCCGGAACTCCCATCCTCAGTTTATATAGCAGGACATCGGTTACAAGTTCGAAAGGTGATCCCTACACACAACAGTGTAGAAATTGCTGGCGATTTGCCATCCAGCGAAATATTCCCAGATCTATCGCCGAATGCCCAGTCTGTGGTCCCGATGACCATTCTAATACGTCTTGCAATCGATCTCCCTCTTGCCTTAACTGTCATGAGGCTCACCCTTCGTACTCTCGCCATTGTCGGTCTATTTAAACGAGCGGGAAACCCGTTACCTCAAAGAGAAGAAGGTCCCCCTTTTATGCCATGGCAGTTTCTATCTCCGCCTCCAAGGGAGACTCCCCGTGTTTTTTTTTCCGTGTTTCAAAACGTCCCCCCATTTTAGTATCCCTCTTCTACCCCACCTCTGTGGTTACCTCTCCCATAATACTCCTGTATCTAATCCTTTTGCTGTCCTCGGCTCAGACGTCCCTACTTCAACGCCTCAGTCTAATCTGCTTTCTTCGAGTTCTCTCTCACAAGCCTCAGTATCAAAAGGCCTCGTACGACACCTCCTCCCAATCGTCCCTCTACTTCTAAAAAGTCAAAAAAAAGGTCCGGTAACACCTCCTACCCATCTTCCACCTCCTCATTTTCCCTCCCTGTCTCTGTCCTAGTTCTTCCCCTCTCACTGGTCAGTTACAAGTGCAGAGGTTCACCCTCCTCCTCGTATTACCTTCCTCCCCTGTTCCCTCCAAGTTTCTTCCTCTTCTGCCACCTCTCAGGTTCCTCCCTTCTTCTGTCCCCTGCCACGCTTCTCCAGTTCCCTCCACCCTTTCGCCCCCCCCTACCTTGGTACAGTCCAATACAGTTCCAATCTTTATATCCTCCCCTACCATTCCCAATATTGTCTCCCATACGACATCTCTGAATTCCAAAACACTTGAAGCAATTCTGAATATATTGCAGAGCCCAAAAACCATCAATGGACATGATCCCCCTTTCCCGTCTTTCTCTCCTCTGCTCCATCTGCGCAACTCCTTTCTTCACAGCGCACCGTTCCTTCGCTGCTTGAACATTTTCCACTGCCTCCGCATGTGGACTTTTAACCTTCTAGTCCATAGGAACCCTTACCTGCGGATTTCAAGTATCTTTACATTGCCAATCATGGCCTATTTACAGTGGATTTTACGCGGCCTCAGGGGTAATCGGGGTGAGCTTCAGATGTTTCTCTCCCCGTTTGCCCTGTTGGTGTTTGCTTACAGGAACCAAAATTACACTCTGCTGTTATTCTCACATCTCAGGCTATAATTTATTTTATTCTTCAGATTTCCCTTTTTCCCGATGGGACCTTTAATGAAAATGCCCCTTCTTTCCGCACTGATATTCCGTACCATCAGGGTATTTGTTCATACTTCGCTGCATTACACAGCGCCGTTTTCCACTTACATAGGTGGTATACGCTCTGTTCTTTATTCTCTCTCCTTCTCGGGCATTATCTATTCCGGATTTTGCCTTCCTTGTTTCGTCATTACCGCCACCGATTCTGTTACTTGGTGATTTTAATGCCCACCATTTCCTTTCGGGGGGGTCTCACTGTGATTCCTGTGGAATTCAGTTAGAGGCTTTTCTTGCCACCCACCCCCTCCATGTTTTAAATACAGGTACTCACACCCATTTTGTCCTCGGACTCATACTCTCTCTTGCATCGATCTCTCAGTTTGCTCTTCCTCCGCCGCATTAGACTTCACTTGGTCTGTCCTCCCGGACTTACATGACAGTGATCATTTCCCAATCATTCTTACTTCCCCTTCATATTCGCCACCTCTTCGCACCCCACGCTGGCAAATTTTAAACGGGCAAATTGGGAAACCCTTTTCTCACACCTAACTGGGTTTTTTAAGAGGTTCCTTTTTTTCGTCCTCCATCGATGAGCTTTTACACCTCTTCTCGTCCTCTGTTTTCACCGCAGCTTCTCATTCTATACCCCAAACTTCGGGGAGGCATTCTCAGAAATGCATGCCTTGGTGGTCTCCTGCTTGTGCTCGTGCAGTACGTTTGAAACGCGCTGCATGGGCAGGTACGGTACAATTGACCACAGAGCGACTCCTTGATTTTAAACAGAAGCGTGCGATTGCTTGCCGTGTATCCGTGACGCTAAACGCAGTTGCTGGCGAGATTATGTCTCCACCATCACCTCTGCTTCCTCTATGAGTGCAGTCTGGAAAAAAAGTACGAAAACTGAGTGGTAAATATTCTCCGGACCCCGGGTCTGTTCTGCGGGTTGCCGGTGTTGATATAGCAAAACCCCCTAGATGTTGCCATGAAATTGGCAATCATTTTGGTCCGTATTTCTCAGGGACTCCATCTATGCCCCTCATTTCTTTCCTCAAAGTCTGCCCGAGAGTTAGTACCCCTTTGGGCTTTTCTTCTCTCAGAGAAGAACGTATAATGTGCCTTTTACACTTCAAGAACGGAAGGCAACACTCTCAGCTTGTCGATCATCGGCAGCTGGGGCCCCAAAGACATTCATATTCGTATGCTACAAAATTTACATCAGTCCCGCCCTTACATCCTATTACGCCTTTACAATCTTATTGGTCACAGGAGTTCTTCCACAGCTGTGGAAATCCGCCATTGTTCTCCCTTTCCGCAAACCAGGCACTACGGGACATGAAACCTCCCACTATCGTCCCATTGCTCTTACCAGTGCGTTTGCAAAGTAATGGAACGCCTGTAAATAGACGTTTAGTGTGGTATTTAGAGACACACAACAGTCTTCCACTCGTCAATATGGCTTTCGTAAGGGACGTTTCCATAGACCCCCTTTCTACGCTTGGATACATATGTTCGTAATGCCTTTGCGAATAACCACTCAGTTATTGCCATATTTTTTGACCTTGAGAAGGCATATGACACAACTTGGAGGTATAATATTTAGCCCCAAACCCACTCCTCAGGCCTTCGAGGCAATCTACCATCCTTCCTTAAGAACTTTTTAACTGACAGGCATTTCCGTGTTCGGTTAATAAAGTGCTCCCCAGACTTTATCCAAGCTGAAGGTGTCCCCCAGGGATGTGTTCTGAGCACAACACTTTTTTCCTTGCTATTAATGTTTGGCTTCTAGTTTCCATCAAATATTTGGTCTCACTCTATGTTGATGACTTCGCATTGCCTGTGCAGGCGCTGCTGTCACCTCCGTACAGTTTCTCTCGAACATGCAGTCGACCGTGTTTCCAATTGGGCCACCACACGTGGGGTTTTTAAATTTTCCCGCACTAAAACCCACCAAATCACTTTCACTAGACGCTCTGTCTCTCCGATCATCCTTTGTACCTCTATGGCTCCGTATCCCTGAACGTGATACAGTCAAGTTTCTGGGCCTCCTCTTTGATCGTAGGTTATCCTGGAAACCTCACATTACCTCTCTTAAGGCAACTTGTCACAGCCGGGTGAACCTTCTTAAAACCCTGCTCATCTTTCGTGGGGAGCTGATCGTCGAACCCTCCTTCGCCTACATTCCACCCTTATTTTATCGAAACTTGATTTGGTGACCAGATTATTCAGGCATCTCCCGCTACTCTCTCTAGCCTTAACCCCATTCATCACCAAGGATTACGTTTATGCCTTGGTGCTTTCCGCTTTCCCCTGTGAGAGCCTCTATGGGAGAAGCGAACGTTCCATCCTTATCCGATCGCCGTGATGCCCATTGCCTGCGCTACTATGTACGCTCTCATGATCTCCGCATCCTTCCATTTATAGAATGGTCACTGATATTAGTAGACATTTTTATTTGTTCGCCGCCCCTGTTTACTCCGTCCCTTCTCTCTTCGCCTTCATTCGCTCTTGTCTTCTCTT